CCCCCCCCCCCCCACTTTTCGGAAAACTCGCCTAAAGGCCCTTGCAGAATGCCAGGCAACAAACAATAGGAACAGGGAATAGAAATTTGGATTGGTCAATTATTTCTATTCCCTGTTCCTATTGGCTAAATCCCGACCTACAATATGTGTAGTAAACTTTAAACCTTAAGAAATTGACCAATCACAGTGGAATTATAGAGGAATAATCAATTGTGATTAGTTAATTTCTTACAGCTTAAAGTTTACTATACCTATTAGCGTTCGGCATTGTAAATTGAAGACGTCGAATTGCTCTTTTACTTTGAAAATGCACAGAAGTGAGAGAGATACGAGATTTTGTATCTTTTTCATTTCTATGCATCTTCGAGATGAAAGAGCAATCCGACGTCTCCGATTTACAATGCCCAACGCAGCTAATGTAGATCGGGACTAATACTTATTTCTATTGCCTGTAGCCTGGCATTGTGCAAAGGCCTTATGGCTCTTGCACACAGGACGCGGTAATGTTTGCCGCGCGGCAGAAATCCGCGCGACAGCCAATTAATATGTTGTTTTTCTGTAAAAGCTAGAAGGTTATTACAAAAAGCAGCATATTGATTGGCTGTCGCGCTAACTTCCGCCGCGCTGTAAACATTACCGCTTCCTGTGCGCAGGAGCCATAACGTTGGGCACGATTCAATTGGAACAAAGTATGTACTAATGTGTACGTATGTCGGGTAGGGTTAGGATTATTTTTCAACTGTGCTTATATTTTGATATTTTTTAATAATAAATAATAAAATCTAAATAATAAAAAAGATATTATCCACTTCACGTCGCAAATGCCAGTTTCTTTTCAAGCCGCTACGCTTATTAACTTTAATTGTCACTAGTTTACACAGTAACTCTTGAGCTGAGTACGGATGTAGTGTTGTGTCGACGATTACGACATTGGAATGCACTTGTGTCGCCGTGTGTATGAAAATGTCTAGGGATATTGCAATTGGAAAGCACTCAATATTATGGAAACGAGAAATGGATGCACGCTTGACAAAAAAGTGACAAAATAGGAAGAAAACTATAGCCCTTCTATTTTCGCTCTCTTTCTAGATGTTTGCTTCACTCTGGGTGTTTACGATAATTCGAGTTGGAGTTAGTACGAGTTAGTTTCACTAGAGCCGAAAAATATGATAGGCACAAGCATCTAGTATTTTCATGATTCATGACAACTCAATGCTGTCCGATAAATCGAGTAGAGTTAGGATAACATAGTGGATAGTATATGTATAAGAATTAACAATATCAGGTAACATAGTTTCGTAAAATATATAACAATAATATTACGAATCAATGAGTTGTTACATTTTAGAAAAATTAGAAGCACTAAATTAAATTATGAAAAGATATCATGTATTTGTAAAATATTCAAAAGTAGAAAACAATTATTCTAACCTATTATTAATCTGTTATTATTGAATATTTCACAAATACATGATATCTTTTCATAATTTAATTTAGTGCTTCTAATTTTTCTAAAATGTAATAAATCATTGTTTCGTAATATTATTGTTATATATTTTACGAAACTATGTTACCTGATACTGTTAATTCATATACTATCCGCTATACTACCCTAACTCTACTCTACTCGATTTATCGGACAGCATTGAGTTGTCATAAATCATGAAAATATTAGATGTTGTATCTATCATATTTCTCAGCTCTGGTGAAACTAACTCGTACTTACTCCAACTCGAATTATCGTAAACAGCCTCTATTAGACGACAGAATATAGGGTATTTAGTCCATGTATACTATGTCTATGGTAGAAACACATGTGAGTCAGATGATGAGGTACGTTTTTCATATTATCTGCCTCTCACTCATGTGTGTTTCTATTTCCACTGCTGCAATCAACAGTTCATTCTATGGGCCTGAGCACAGATTTTTGCATAATGGCATTCTATAATGAGCCATTAATCATAAGCCGTAAGCAAGTTGACCAGCCACCCAGACAGCACAAACTGCTAAAAGATATTTTAAACACGTCCAAAAGACATCTTAAAGGAATAAGGACATCTTTTGGATGTCTTTAAGATATCTTTTAATGGGTTGTGTTGTCTGGGCACAGTCGACTGTTTTTGAAAATAATCAACTGTGATTGATTAATTTACTGATTAATGTTTTATTCCCTTACGAAAAAAACCCTTAAATTTGGGTGTAAACACCCAAAAACTGTGGATAAACAGGGGATAAACTAAATTTGAGTGTTAACACAAAAAATTGAGGGTTTTTTCATATTTTTTCGTAAGGATTTGCAAAATTATATGATCATTTGCAAAATTTTAAAGAACTCTTCTGTTCAATTTGACGTAATGTCAATTTTTACGTAATGTACTCTCGTAATCTGAAAGGTTTGTGCACCGATTTTTGGTTGATCTCGGAACGCATCCCAACTTCAGGAGAGAGACAATCACTGCTTGACACGCCAACGCCGCCACTTATTACGAGAGCAGAAGGATGGCATATTCGTGGTGTCAAAAAGTAGTGATTTGACGTATCATTGAAAGAAACAAATAATTATTGTGATGGTGACTGTGATTGTGAAACAATGTATTAAAGAAAAGCATTAATTTTCTAATAATATTTTAAGTGAAAAATGTTTTTAAATTTGAGTGTAAGTTGAAAAAGTTATAAACTATAATTTCTTTAATGTTAATAATTGTAGAATTATAAATTTGCCATTAACATTAAATGAATATGTAAATAATGCTATTATTTGTATAGATGGGGAATTATGTTATTGCGTTCAAAAATAAGCAGACCAAGTCGAGTGATTATTTTAACAAAATATTCATATTACTCGACTTGATCTGCTGATTATTTTTGCTGAGCGCAATAGCATAGCAACACAGGAAGTTTATTTTTATATTTTCAATTTGAATGTAAGTTAAAAAAGTTATAAACCATAATTTCCTTAATGTTATTAACTAGAACTATAAATTTGTGGTTGCTATATTTTTTTGACAAGATACTCATCACTCATCTTGGTTTACTGCTTATTTTTTTTGCTGAGCGCAATAACAT